TCACTAGATACTGTGACACCCATCATGAGGCGCAGAGTAGCCTTCACTAGATACTGTGACACCCATCATGAGGCGCAGAGTAGCCTTCACTAGATACTGTGACACCCATCATGAGGTGCAGAGTAGCCTTCACTAGATACTGTGACACCCATCATGAGGCGCAGAGTAGCCTTCACTAGATACTGATACTGTGACACCCATCATAGGCGCAGAGTAGCCTTAATCTAGACACTGACACCCATCATGAGGCGCAGAGTAGCTTCACTAGATACTGTGACACCCATCATGAGGCGCAGAGTAACCTTCACTAGATACTGTGACACCCATCATGAGGCGCAGAGTAAGCTTCACTAGATACTGTGACACCCATCCCAGAGTAATCATGATACTGTGACACCCATCGCAGAGTAAGCTTCACTAGATACTGTGACACCCATCATGAGGCGCAGAGTAATCACTAGATAGACACCCATCATGAGGCGCAGTAAGCTTCAAGCTGTGACACCCATCATGAGGCGCAGAGACTACTGTGACACCCATCATGAGGGCGCAGAGTAAGCTTCACTACTGTGACACCCATCATGAGGCGCGTAGATACACCCATCATGTTGAAGTGATACTGTGGGGAGCTGCTTGACGCGATCACTTGACTTAAAGGGACTCACTGTATCGAACATTTAACTGTTGCCAAGTGGAGCTGGCTGTTCGATATCTCGGATAGCCCTTGTCGCGTGTCTGGCCATAACGCCAGCCACACCACCACATTCACCACCACCACTACACCACACCCACCACCACGGAGGTAGCTTGTTGGTGTCGTCTTGTTAGGGCCTCCCATTGATTGTCCTGGACGAACACTCCCTCCACCCTGTATTGCCCTCAACGACCCCCCAGCCCCCCGATATTGTCCTGGACGATCCTCCTTCCCCTGACACTCTGGACTCTCCTTCCCCTGACACTGCCCTGGACGACTCCTTCCCCTGACACTGCCCTGGACGACTCCCTTCCCTGACACTGCCCTGGACGACCCTTCCTAACACTTACCTCGTCTCGGACCGTCGTCGTGTTAGGGTCACTTGTCGGGGGGTGAAGATGTAGTAATATACAAGCTATTAATACTGATTGCAGTGTTGGGTGGGCCCCGTGTAAGTGTTAAATACAGGCGAATTGTACCGTGTAAATTGTTCTCAGTCGTAATAACCCGGGCAGTAGGACGGTAAAATGCCATTGTGTTAACGACGCGTGCTTCTTGATAACGGAGAATTGTATAGATATATATATTTTTTTATACTGGTGTTGTGCAATGCGAGACCTTTATTTTTTGGAGTGGGGGTGTTCCTCTAACCTTGTCACTAAAATGAAAGTTGCAAATTCGCGAAACTCTTAAGACTTGCCTGCATGGATATTGAGGATGTCGTCTCTTCCTTTACCTTTTTCTTTTTCTTTTTCTTTTTCTTTCTTTCTTTCTTTCTTGGGTTTTACTCTTGTTTTCAATTTTCGTTTCGCTTTTTCGTTTTTTCTCCTTCCTTTACGTGCATCTCTCTCTCTCTCTCTCTCTCCCTCTCTTCTCCCTCCTCTTCTCCCCCCCTCTCTCTTTCTCTCTCTCCCTCCTCTCCTCTTCTCCCTCTCTCTCTCCCTCTCCTCTCCTCTCTCCCTCTCTTTTCTCTCTCCTCTCTCCTTCTCCCTCTCTCTTTCGCTCTCCTCTCTCTTTCTCTCTCCTCTCTCTCTCTCTTACTCTCATCATTCCCCTTTCTCTCTTCCCTCTTTCCTCACTACTCGCTTCCCATCCCTCTTACCTCTCACACACTCACTCCTTCCCTGCCCCTCAGTCTCTCTCTCACATATCCGGTAGTGATGAATACGGCACGCATAATAAAAACGTTGTTGGTGCGTGTGTTTGTGTGGAGGAAGTAATGAAACAGCAGACAATCCCTCCCTCTCCTTCCCGCCCCCTCTCTACCTCCCCCTGCCCGCCCGCCCGCGCATCACCAGCTGGGCCCAGAGGAAACTTGCGCGAATGTCAAGTCGTCACGGGTGTCCTCGTCAGCAGCATTTGCATAGTGGATCTTCCTGCCATTGTGTAGGAGAGGAGGATCCAGGAGGCTCCACTGTGGGTCACTGCTCTGCTTATTCTGGTAGAAAGTTAAGGCATTGAAGTTGTGGTGGTCCTTGGAGAGCAAGAGAGGGCCTCGGCTGGGGAAATGGGCTCCTGTTGTCGGGGGATATTTGGAGGAGTGGACGGCCGCCGTCGGAGGATATTTGGAGGAATTGACGGTCGCCGTCGGGGGATATTTGGAGGAGTGGACGGCCGCCGTCGGGGATATTTGGAAGAGTGGACGGCCGCCGTCGGGGACATTTGGGGAGGGACGGCCGCCGTCGGGGGATATTTGAGGGTGGACGGCCGCTGCCGGGGATATTTGGAGTGGACGGCCGTCGGGGATATTTGAGGAATGGACTGACGCCGTCGGGGATATTTGGGGTGTGGACGGCAGCCGTCGATATTTGGAGGAATGGACTGACGCCGTCGGGGGATATTTGGGGTGTGGACGGCAGCCGTCGGGGGATACTTGGAGGAGTGGACTGGCGGTGTCGGGGGGCTATTTGGAGGAGTGGACGGCCGTCGGGGGTATTGACAACCATTGTCGGAATATTTGGAGAAGCGGACGGCCGCTGTCGGGGGTTATTTGGAGGAGTGGACTGCCGCTGTCGGGTATTGCTCAGTTGTGATAATAGATATTAGTCGTCTAGAATTCTCTCCATATACAGTATCTCTCGCTCTTTATCTCTCTCTCATTGTTCTCTTCTGTGTGCCCGCAGGTTTAAGTTATTTTAGGTTTGGCGGAGGTTTTTAACGTGTTGGGTTGGTGGTAGTTGTGGTGTTGGTGGTGCGGTTGTGGATGGTAGCTGGTGTTTGTATGGCTCGTGTTGACTGTAAGGTACCCTTGATCCTTCCCCACTAACCACACTTTTAACCCTTTACCACTACTTACCAATTCAAATTTTGTGTTTGTTTTTTCGTTTTATTTGTATTTGTTACTAATTATAGCAGTTTCATAATTGACTTATTGCTTTATTGTGAGATATTAACCATTAGTGTTGAATTAATGACTTGCTAAAATAATTGTTTGAGTTTGGATAATAATCACTTTTAACATTGTAACATTTAATATTTCCTGTAGGTGTAGTGGCGTTATGTATACAAGGTGTGTAGGCTACAGCTGTAGATCAGAGAGAACCTATAGTGTGTACTGAGTAGCATTAGCTTATGCAGAAGTAGCAGTGGGTAATGCAGAAGTAGCAGTAGGTTATGCAGAAGTAGCAGTGGGTTATGCAGAAGTAGCAGTGGGTTATGCAGAAGTAGCAGTGGGTTATGCAGAAGTAGCAGTGGGTTATGCAGAAGTAGCAGTGGGTTATGCAGAAGTAGCAGTGGGCTATGCAGAAGAAGCAGTGGGCTATGCAGAAGAAGCAGTAGGTTATGCAGAAGTAGCAGTGGGTTATGCAGAAGTAGCAGTGGGTTATGCAGAAGTAGCAGAAGCAGTGGGTTATGCAGAAGTAGCAGAAGCAGTGGGTTATGCAGAAGTAGCAGTAGGTCATGCAGAATTACTAGTAACAGTAAGTCATGCAGAAATAACAGTAGGTCGTACAGTAGTAGCTATAGTTTATGCAGAAGTAGCAGTAGGTCAAGCAGCAGAAATAGCAGTAGGCCATGCAGCAGAAGTAGCAGTAGGTCAAGCAGCAGAAATAGCAGTAGGCCATGCAGCTGAAGTAGCAGTAGGCCATGCAGCAGAAGTAGCAGTAGATCAAGCCGCAGAAGTAGCAGTAGGTCATGCAGCAGAAGTAGCAGTAGGCCATGCAGCTGAAGTAGCAGAGGTCAAGTGCAGCAGAAGTAGCAGTAGGTCAAGTGCAGCAGAAGTGCAGTAGGTCATGCAGCAGAAGTAGCAGTAGGTCATGCAGCAGAAGTAGCAGTAGGCAGCAGCAGAAGTGGCAGCAGTAGGTCCATGCAGCAGAAGCAGCAGTAGGTCCATGCAGCAGAAGTAGCAGTAGGTCCATGCAGCAGAAGCAGCAGTAGGTCCATGCAGCAGAAGTAGCAGTAGGTCCATGCAGCAGAAGTAGCAGTAGGTCCATGCAGCAGAAGTAGCAGTAGGTCAATGCAGCAGAAGTAGTAGAGTAGGTCATGCTGCAGAAGTAGCAGCAGGTCATGCAGCAGAAGTAGCAGCAGGTCATGCAGCAGAAGTAGCAGTAGGTCATGCAGCAGAAGTAGCAGTAGAGGTCATGTTGGTGAAGTAGCAGTAGGTCATGCAGCAGAAGTAGCAGTAGGTCATGCAGCAGAAGTAGCAGCAGGTCATGCAGAAGTAGCAGTAGGTCATGCAGCTGATGTAGCAGTAGGTCATGCAGCAGAAATAGCAGTTGGTCATGCAGCAGCAGAAAGTAGGTGTTGCAGAAGTAGCAGTAGGTTAATGCAGCAGAAGTAGCAGTAGGTCATGCAGCAGAAGTAGCAGTAGGTCATGCAGCAGAAGTAGCAGTAGGTCATGCCGCAGAAGTAGCAGTAGGTCATGCCGCAGAAGTAGCAGTAGGTCAAGCCGCAGAAATAGCAGTTGGTCATGCAGCAGAAGTAGCAGTAGGTCATGCAGAAGTAGCAAGAGTAGGTCATGGAGAAGTAGCAAGAGTAGGTCATGGAGAAGTAGCAAGAGTAGGTCATGGAGAAGTAGCAAGAGTAGGTCATGGAGAAGTAGCAAGAGTAGGTCATGCAGAAGTAGCAAGAGTAGGTCATGCAGAAGTAGCAGCAGTAGGTCATGGAGAAGTAACAGTAGTGCCGACTCCATAATTATTGTACTTCACTCTTAGGTGGTGATAGTAATTTGGGATTTGTCAGATGCTTTTAAATAGGTAGAAGAATTGTTGAATAAGGAGTCAGGCGTTAGGGGGAGCTTAGGAGGAGGTGGGCGTGGTCAGGTGTGTGTGTACTGACGGTGTGTGTTTTGTGTTTCTTTGTGCGGCAGCTTCAAGGTGAGCGTCGAGTCGTGGATGTCCGGCATGATGAACGGCATGGACTCCTGCACTCAAAATGGCACCGCCTCGTCCAACTCGTCCCAGAGCGGCCACATCGAGGAGTCCAAGACAAACCTCATCGTTAATTACCTGCCTCAGAACATGACCCAGGAAGAAATCCGCTCCCTGTTCTCATCTATAGGCGAGCTGGAGTCCTGCAAATTAATCAGAGACAAGGTCACAGGTGAGTCAGGTGCGACATCATTCTGTTTGTTTCGCATGCCTAGTTTATAAAAAAAAAAATCAGTTCTTCCTTCTCCTCCTTATCTGTTTAGCTCGTAAGATTCATGTCTTCTTCCTGTCCACAACTTTTGAGTCGTATATTAAACTCTTCTTCCTTTTCTCTGCTTTTAGTTTGTAAGATTATTCTCCTCTTCTCCTGTATTGAATGTTTTAGTTTGTAAGATTATATTCTCTTCTTTCTCGAGTCTTTTAGTTTGTAAGATTCAACTTCATTCTCAGTATAATTTTGTCATTATATCAATTTGCATGTTTAGCCAGTGTGGTGCCCTTGTGATTATATTTGGAGGGTTAACAGTACCTGCCTTTGGTTAACTCAGCAGGTGGGGTGATTATATTGGGTGAATGGGAGGGTTAACAGTACCTGCCTTTGGTTAACTCAGCAGGTGGGGTGATTATATTGGGTGAATGGGAGGGTTAACAGTACCTGCCTTTGGTTAACTCAGCAGGTGGGGGTGAATTGGGAAATTATAGAAAGTGATGAAACATTGAGGGCTTGTCATATCCCAACAGTTTGGAAACTGTCGGAGTCATTTTCGGATTGGGTGACCTAATAAGGGTGGGGGGGGGAGACTTAGAGTTAGGTTAGGTATATATAAAATGCTGTAGTATAAAGAGGCTTTAACAACCTTATGGGACCAGAGATGTTAGTTTGTAGGGACTACCGAGTGCACCTCAATATGTTTATTGCTAGGTAGATGGGTTGTGCACTCGAGGGAGCTTCTGTACCATGTGTATCACTCAGCTTGTGGACTGCTGTTCGGATGAGAAACATTCGTAATTGTATTCCGAGCCGAATGATGTTTTCCGGCAGTATTGTGTGTGACCAGTAGCCAAGTATAGGAAGGTGGAACTGAAGGCAAGGGATTTGAAAAGTAGACTCGAGAGACATTTGTCACTGTTTATACAAGACAAGTATTATGGTGGTGTTTTATTACTGTGCTGGTAGGCAGGAGAAGTTATTATCAAGGGTTGGGAGAAAAGTTTAGGTAGTGGTCAGTGGCGACGTCAAGCCGCGAGCGTCCATGTCAGTGATTCTTGGTGTCCTGCTGGGAATGACAAGCTGATTATGCAACCAGGGTGTCGGCACGCAGCCTCCGTTATTTGTGGACGCTCGTTACTGGACCCTTGGGTGTAAATGTCCTCAGTAGAATACAACTGTGCCCAACATGTATTATGGAGGGGAGGGTACAGCTGTGTGCTTTAGTTCAGGGTCCAGGAGTGTTGTGTGAGGGAACTCAGTAGGGTACAACGAGGCATTGTTCCATAGTGATAGGTTTCATATTTTTAGGGACGCTGGAAAATACGACTGATAATAATACATTGTAGCTAAATTTTTACTTTCACTTATAGCTTCATCAGCAAACCCGGTCCTATCGTTGTTCCTTCAATATCCATTTCTCCTGTCGTCTTTGTCCGTCCGTCCGTCCGTCCGTCCGTCCCGGGGAGCTGTGGGGTAAGGCAGAATTGTAGAGCTAGAGTGGTCGGGACAGCCTGTCGTGGACGGAGCCAGTCTTCACCAGGAGGAGGTCAATCTCTACTGCAGGGAATAGATCTCGTGGGGTGGAGGTAGGTCTTGGGGAGGGGGAACTATTTTGGTTGGGATAAATTCTCTGGGTATGTGAATGTTCCCCTCGGGTCGTCAAGGGTTTTTAGATGGGGGCTGGTGATGACGTGGGCGGGGTACTTTAGGAGACGATGGATTAAATACTGTAGCTTAAAGGAGTTGGCTGAAGAGTGTGTGTGTGTGTGTGTGTGTGTGTGTGTGTGTGTGTCAACGTTTACCTAAGAGGTGGCGTTGATGTGAATATGCAGTGAGGCGGCGTAGGGAAGGTTATCGATCTGTGATGCCTCCCCTGACGGCAGCAAGCAGCAGCAGCACTCCACATAAGCGTCCCCCCTCCGCCAGTGATGCAGCTCTCCTCTCCCCAGCTTACTGCCCATGTCTCCTTAATGGGCGTACCTGTCCTCTCCCCACTACTTGACCCTACTCTACTTTTAGCTGAACTCATTTGCTTAAATCGTCCAGTTTAGTGGTACAAATTACGGTCTGTGTTGACAATGAGTTGTGTGGGAGAGGCGTGAGGGGGAGCAGCTTGGCGGAGACGATCTAGCTGGTGGGGGAGAAGGGGTTGGATAGGAAGCGTCAACACTGAACCATTGGACGTCATGATCATTAGTTGTCACGATGTCTCGTTCATGCCTTCACTACCACTAACGCCCCCTACCCACACCCCTGTGATATATATATATATATATATATATATATATATATATATATATATATATATATATATATATATATATATATATATATATATATATATATATATATATATAAAATTTCTTTCCTCCCATCCACAATTTTCCCAAATGTTTGTAAACATGACGACCACCACCATCTTCATCCCACGCCACTCACATCATCCTCACCCTACCCTCCCTCCCTCCTTCCCTCCCTCCATTGTCTTTCCAACCATCAATACTGTCATCACACCCACTTCTTTTCCTCACCATCCCCCCCACCTACTTACTCTTGCCACTTCCCCACCCACCCACTCTCTTTTACTAGTCTTCTCCCACCCACTCGTTCGCTCCCACCCACTCTTCCTCTCCCATCCACTCGACCTCTCCCCATCCACTCTCGATCTCTCCCCATCCACTCTCGACTTTTCCCCATCCACTCTCGACCTCCCCATCCACTCTCCACCTCTCCCTATCCACTCTCCCTCTCCCCATGCACTCACCAACCCCTCTTGTCTCTTCCCATGCTCTTCACCCACTCTTGTCTCCCCCACCCACTCTTGCTCTCTTGCCCCACCCACCTCTTCTCTTGCCCCCACCCACCCCCACCCACCCACTCCCACCCACTCTCTTGCTCCCACCCACCTCTTACCCCCCACCCACTCTCTTACCCCCACCCACTCTCTTCCCCCCCACCCACTCTCTTACCCCCCACCCACCTCTCTTACCCCCACCCACCACCACCCACCCCACCCCCACCCACCTCCTTACCACCCCCACCCACTCCTTACCACCCCCACTCCACTCCCTTACCACCCCACCCACTTACCACCCCCCACCCACTCCTTACCACCCCCCACCCACCCACCCCCCTCCCACCACCCCCACCCACCTCCCTCCCTTACCACCCCACCCACTCCCTTCACACCCCCACCCCACCCCCCACCCCCACCCCACCCCTCCCACACCCTCCCCACCCCTGTCCCACTCCTCTCCCACCCATGACTGCCTACCTTTCTCGACTCACCTCCCACCAACACTACCTTCTTCCCATCAGGTGTCGTATATCCTGAGTGTCAAAAGTTGTTGTGGTGTTGGTATTAGTGTGGTAGGGGAGTGACGGTGGTTGTGGTGTTGGTATTAGTGTGGTAGGGGAGTGACGGTGGTTGTGGTGCTGGTATTAGTGTGGTAGGGAGTGACGGTGGTTGTGGTGTTGGTTAGTGTGGTAGGGGAGTGAGTGTTGGTATTAGTGTGGTAGGGAGTGACGGGTACGTTGGTATTAGTGTGGTAGGGGAGTGACGGGTGGTTATGGTGTTGGTATTAGTGTGGTAGGGGAGTGACAGGGTGGTTGTGGTTGGTATTAGTGGTATAAGAGTTGACGGGGGCGGTCATGTCGCCGGTGGTATTTCGCGGAGATGGTATGATGGTGTTAGTGGCGGGATGATGGTGATGGATGATGGTGTTAGTGGCGGGATGATGGTGTTAGTGGCGGGGATGGTGTTGTTGGTTGTTGTGTCGAGTAATGGAGGAGGGAGCGTGGAGCAAACAGCAAGACGTGGAGAAGGCGGAGGAGGCGCGCTAGAGTCACATTCATGGCGTGAGTAGCGGCCACACCAGCTCGTTGTAATAGACCCGATATCGACCCAACCAGCGCCTGCCTCCCCCCTCCCCTCCCCACCCCCTCCTTTGTCTCGGAATCGATCCACAATCGACCCGAGAGTTGTGGGGTCGAGACTCGCGACGGCGTAAGGGTTCTTATCTCAGTGTTCTTGGGGCCCTCCCTCTCTTCTTCCCCCCACTCCATCACCCCTCTGTCTCCATCCCTCTCTCTCCATCCCTCCCTATCATCTCCTCTCCTAACCTTCCCTCCTCCTCTACTCATCACCCCTCTCCTCCCCTACCAAAGACTAACCCTCCTCTCCTCCCCATATCCAACACCTCTCGCTCTCGTCCCCCCTGCCCACCACTCCCCTTTCTTCTCCCCTGTCCAACACACCCTCTTTCTTCTCTTCCCTTCTCCTTGCCCAACACCCCTCACTCCACCTTTCCCTTCTCCCCTCCTCGCCACACCTCCCCGCACAACTTCCCCTCTCTCATCACTCCCACTACTGCAATACACGGCACTGATTAGGGAGTGGGTGGGAGAGGAAGGGGGAGGGGGTGAGGGTGGGGGGTGGTACCATTCTTCTGTCATTCTCTTACGTCACGCTGCTCTTCATCAGTCATTCAACCTTCCCTCCTCGCCCCGATTTTTTCTCTCCCCTCGTAACCCCCCTAATTCTCCCCCTCTCATCCAGCTCTCCCTTTATCTCTCCTCTTAACCTACCCCCTTCGTTGTTCCTATCCGTTACCCCACTCTTCTCCCCTCGTTTTCTGTCCTCGACCGACCAATCTGCCCCTTTTTCCCTCACCCAACCCCTTATATCTCTCCTTTCTCATCCAACTTCCTTTTATCTCTTCCTCTCAACCAGTCCCCTCTTCCCCCATTTTATCTCCCCTCTCACCCATCTCTCACTTCTTAATCTTCTCTTTTCAACTCTTGGTATTACCTCCCTCCTCCTCCCCGCTCCACCTGTTATTCCCCAACATATCGCCGCTACCGCTTCCCCCCTCCGCCTCACCAACTACTAATTACCGTGTTTTAATACCCTCCTTAGGCATCGGTGAGTCTCGGTGAGTCTCTTTAACAATCATCATCTACTTGGGTAC